TAATGTGATACCAAATAGAGCGCAGATGCTAAGAGACATAATTAACGAAGCAAACACATGAGCTACGGCCGAGAAAACGAGACCAAATTTAGACCTGACGGAATCAAGACGAGTCATAGAGAGGATAGATAGGGGAAAAATTAAGTATGCCAACATAAGAAGAACTTGTTTGGTTAAAGAACCATTCCTGTCCGTCTACAAAATTAAATACTCTTAATAAAGAATACGAGAAAATATTACACATATGGGGTGTCAACAAATTGTCTCTAAGTAAAACTTTTACTAAAAAAAAATATCTCAACAACTATTAAACTAAATTTAATAAAAAAAATTACTGAAAATCGTTGCTTGATTTCTACTGACACCCCATATAACATATCACCTACACCCGTCTCATTATTATAAGGGAGTTTATAGACTAATGATCCAATATAATTTAATAACTCGTTCACAGATCAATGACAATTTTCTGGCAAACTAAGACGGCGTAAAGGATGATGCAAATGCGAATATAAAAAGATTCCTACATTTAAAGCTAAGTATACTAGTTCTCCTTGGCGATTCATATTTACACTTATAGTGTTATCATCAACAAGTTGAAAAGCAGTGTCTGTATCGTTTGTAATTTGTTCCCAAATCGCTTCCCAAATGGCTATTGTCTGACTTTCATTGTAATCTTCTATGTCTTTCAAAAAATAGGTTAATACTATCGAGTCCGCACTAACAATTTTCCCTTCTTTATGCACTGCATTTCCAAAGATCGAGCTTAAAGGAACGGACATCCCAAGAGGGAATGTTTTGTTTGTTAGCGAGAGTGTTTTAAGAATAGAATGGTCAGAAACAAGATGGTTGGCATCATTGAACCAATAATCAAGTGGTGAATGGACTAAACATGTATTGCTATCAAGAGGTTTGAGACATATATCCGAAAGGGTATATTTTTCGGCAACCAATGAAGAGGGCTGGCTTGAGTACATTATAACAGTATTCATTATTCTTTCTTGCAGACATAAAGTCCATAATAATAACTCTTTTTCTAAAACACCAACATTGCCACCTTTATTATATTTTTTCGAGTTGGTCATCTTTATTATAACTTGCTCTACGCGAAATGAAGGTTGAATGCCATATTTTTTAACGAAATTTTCCTTCGATACCTGTGACCTAAATGAAGGTGTCTCCCAAAAAAGCGTATTGCTGGCATCTCTCACAGGATTTAAGTAATAGGTATCGAAGGCAGGATAGCACAAAGGTAGAAATGTAAAGATTGCTAGAACTATTACCGATGTCCGATGAGAAGCACAAAAAATTGCAAGGCGATAAAAAAATTGTGACGTTATTTTAGAACCAACTTGAATCTGGGCAAAAAGAGCGAACAAAGTCATAATGCTTTTGTAAAAATAAATTCAAAGTTAAAATCAATTAAATTTTAATAAATATTTGAATTAAATATCATTTTAAAAATTTGAATTAAATATCATTGTTAACGATTTTTGCACTAATTTGGACGCGCATATAGGATCAGGCGATTCTTGCATATTGGTAATGTAGCTCGTGGAACGTAAATATTGTACCAGAGCCATGATCAACGGAAAACTTTTCATGCCAAACTTCCACAAATGGCATGATGACATTGAAAAACAATATTGTTATTCATGGCTAGGATAAATTAATTACTAAATTGAGGGAATTTAAAGCTTTTGACATTTGAGTATCTTATGTAATCACCATCACCTCGGACAGTGCAAATTACTGTCATATTCATTGTAGTATCATATCCAGAATTACCAACAAAATTTCATATTCAAAGTGATAATAAGAAATTCCTTATATTAAAGGTTAGTAATTAGGATTTGTGTTAAATTAGAAATTAGTAACTAGATATATATGTATATTTGCCAATTTGCTGACTATTATCATGTGACATCAAAATTTGTTGATAGTCTTGGCGGGCCGTGGAAACCGAAGATCTTAGGCATCAAAGTGTAAGAGAGTTAAGAGCATTAATAGCATTAATCCAAAACCACTATCAAACAAATAGGCTGCATTTGTATACAATCCAACGGCCCAAGAGATTATTATTGAGGAAATTTAATGATATGCGATCAGGCCAATAAAAATTAGGATAGATGCATATGATCTGACCAACAAAACGTGCACAAAGCATTATATATAAAAGGCAAAAAAAAAAATTACGAACATACGTACGTAACACAGCATGTCATGTGTTTATGGTACATCATTAGCCAACACTGTGGTTCTGGTAAATGAGCGTTGTGTCCGTAGCTTTTGCCTTATATAAATTATTAATTCCACGTGGTTTACGATAGAGGAGGGAGCACGGGAATTTTTGGAGCGGGCATACTTCGACTGAAGGTATGCCTTTTTTACTGTGCCTTGGACGTCCTATAAATAAAAACAGTAATCAAGTTTCAAGAGATAAAATAGATGAAATGTAGTATAGCCTTCGACCTATTTTAAACCAATAGATCATAATCAATTTTATGATAATAGGGCTTACTACATTTGATCCAAACAAAATGCTAGCAATTCTGCAATTTAATTTGCTTTACTTTTTATGAAAATGTGACATGTTTACATGCATTTAACCTCACGATCCCATGCCGCCTACTCAATTGTATGCATAGATCGCAGAATGGATTCGTGACTAAATAAATGCAGCTTGGTTAAAACATGCTTAGATGTGTAAATGTATGAATAGTCTTGTTCTATTAAATATAAATAAATTGAGAATATACCACATCTTGTGAGGAACCATTATACAGCCTTAATGATTGTGTAGTTTTGGTTAAAGTTTTGTAAAGATCTATATTTCATCTCTACAAAAAAAGATATAGAACCATTTTCATAAAAGGGATTCAATTTAGTCTTTCGTCCTTTTTAAAAAAAATTTATATAAATGAAAAAGAAGGCACTCCAGCTTATTTGTAGAGATATATTATTGGCCTTTACAAAATTTTAACTGAAACTTTTGTACCGTTAGAATTGTACATCTATTTAAAATTAGCGAAAAATTATTATAATAATACAGTAAGTAAAATCAAGAACTTTAAAATCTTCATTACCAAATTTTTGGTTTACATGATGCGCTGCTCATCTCAGTGTATCTTCTCTGATAAAAGAAAAAAAAGTGTCATGTAAAATGCTCGGGTTTAACTTATTTAGTCAGTGCTCACTTACAGGAAGTACAAAGTCATGTGATTTCGTCGAGAGAACGAAGCAAGCACATGCCAAGTTTAGCTTCGATGGTAAACGCGAAGGAGGGCACATGTGAATGCTATCTGCGGGTTAGTATATCATAAGAAACTTTATAGTGAAGAAATATGTGCATAGATTAGTAGCGTCAACAATTCATTGCAATATATCATCATTTGCAATGTTTGCAATACTGTAAAAGCTATATAAATTGGTTTGCCCTGAGGGAAAAAGAAGAAGTATTCATGCTCAGTGCGATTAATAAAGGCTATTAAAATCTAAAATTATCCTTTTGATAACTTATCTAACTTGCCTCGTGATTATTTGACCTAACCCTAAATTAAATAAACCTTATAGAGATACTTATCGACTCAACCAAACCGTACACTTCGGTGGAGAAAGCCTTAAATCGCCAAAGACATTGTAGATTAACATCTTAGGAGGGATGAGAAATTTGTCTAACCCTAAACCCAAATCCAAATCCCAAATCCCAAACCCTAAAATGGTTTTGTCAATCACTGTTGTGCTGTTTCAACCCGGGTTACCGCGGGCGGGTGGGTAACCCGAGTTGAGATGTTGCCCGGGTGAAGACGATGGGTGGGTTAACCCGTAGAACAGTCCACTGAATGAATGAATAAATTGTACTGTACGTACGTACGTACTTATATTATCGGGTAACATATCTGATATGGTGACCATACGGGAGATTAGTTAACTCGATTTTCACCCGGATGGCATGTCAAGTGACCTGAGTGAGATTTTTTAGACAAGGTGAGTAACGAAATCGATCCTTAATTTTAAAAAAAACTTCACTAATCAATTATATACGAATTAATTATTAGTGACTGACGCGTCTAGTGTGCCTACTGGTGAGTATAAAGCTAATTTATAAATATAGAATTTTAATAATTAAAATTAAGTTGAACACTAATGAATTAGACTTACGTGCGAAACAGGATCTCTATTAATTTAATACGAGGTTGTTTTCAAAACTGGACTGCTTAAAAATAACCCTTTTCTTGTTACTATATAAACGACCGGATCTATTAATGATGTGATGATGTGATCATACGATGAAAATAACATGTCACTCTGCAGCAACACATGTGTAACATTAAAGCTCTATGATGTCATATGACTTACATGACTTATATCTTACCGCGCAGGGGTGAAATAATGAATTCCGGCCTAAATTAATCTTAATTCGGGCCGAACCTCGAATAACTTGTCATATTAATAATATGATAATCTCATATAATAATGATTCTATAGGCATATGATACTATGTCATATGAAATATCATATGACATTATGACGTCCTACATTGGGTTCGCGCAGTAGGCGCAGCGTACATAGATTTAAATTTGCGCACATAATAGCGCTCTCCGTATATATAGTGCGCGTATAAATTTTTTTTTTTTGTGCACATTTTTTTGCATTTACGCCAATAGAAATTTTTTGAATTTATTACACTGCTTACAGGGCCATCTCCAAAATTCGGGGTCGAAATTCATCGAAGTTGGGCCGGAATTAAGCGATACTGGCCAGCTATGTCTATAGAAAAATTATCAGTTGAGCATTTTACTTAATGCTACGAGTGCTATGTATCTCGCACAAAAAGAAAAATCACAAGATTATATCACATGTCGGGTAAACTATTTACATACTGTTCACTAAAAATTTCGGCGCATTACTGCATTATGCAAGTTCTAAACAAAGAGTCGATCTTACTAGTAGAAAAAAGACAAATCTGCAAACAATCAGATATATATCAGAATAAATCATATTTTGATTTGTTGCCATTCATTCTGAAATATATCTGAAGTGACAACCGAGTGGCAATAAATCAAAATATGATTTATTTCTGATATACGCATATTTGATTGTTTGTCTGATTTGTCTTATTTCTACTTGTGCCTGCCTTATTATAGTTAAATATGTGTATATCATTAGTAAAGTAGCTGACGAGATAGCACAAAGCTTAAAAGCTTATTTAGCACTTCTAAGACATGAAATCATTATCTCATGGAATAGCGTAGTAGTAGATGATGCAACAATTTCTCTTCCGTTCATTCAACTTTCATTAAAATTTGAGTCTCATCAAAAAGAATATGCTATCTACCGTATAAGTGCGAAATAACGCGTAGGGGTATTATTTTGAATAATGGCTCGAATTAGGGCCAAAATTCGAAATTATACCCCTGCGCGCTTATACGGAATGAGAGACGTTATAGCATTCAATCTTTACTAATTAAAGTTATAGTTAGAATAGTGTTTCGGCCTAAGCTGAATTTCTCCCCGAAGAAACCTCCGAATCCTGGTTTCGCCAAGAACCTAGAACCTGAAACTTCTGAAAACTTAAAACCTCTAAAACGTAGCAAAACATCCTAAATTTGCGATAAGTGAAGCCTGACGAAAGGTCCGAAATATAAACCTAAAATTTCTGTTTCATTTTTTTCAAATGCAGAGAATGATATGGTTAAAACGGAAAATAATCTGGGATAAAGCTCTAATCGATCGTCAAGATTTAAATTACCAATCATGTTTGAGAACATTCATATGAATAAACATAGATCATATACGCGGTTATGCTTTTGAGTCTTTTATATATATGTGTAATTATATATATTTTTAATGAGTAGATTTGAAAAAGCTTCAGAGGTTTTATTAAATTCTGGATTCTCCAATTCTCCAAGTTTCAGAAGCTTCTCCAGGCCAGACTCTGGAATATTTCTCAATTTCAGAGACTTTGCCAAACAGAAACACGGATTTTAAATTTTGAGTTTATTGCTACAATATAAACTAAAGATAAGGTTAGCTTTTAATGTGACAAAAAGAAATATACAAATACAATAATGAAAAACTTGGTTCATACGACGGATTAAACGAAATCAAATTAAAGTGAAATTATATAGTGAAAAAATTTCGAATTTTTTGGAATGCATTTTTTAACATTTGTTTTTTTTTTAGGGCTAGGATCTGCTTTAGGAGTAGAATTCATAATAAACAAGTATAAGTGAGTTTTAGTGGTTAAGTAGAAATCTCAAATTTCATTCATTATGGTCCACGGCATTTCATTATTTATAATTGCTATTTATATCATCAGATTGGAAACGAATAAAAGCTATCCTTCATAATCGAATGATTTTTTTTTTTTTGATACAGATTA